AAATCTTTAACAATTCTCTCTGTATTTTCTGTTATCCCCTCTGTTCTGGTACTCCAATCACTCGTAGGTTATTCCTCTTGATAGAGTCCCACATAATTCTTAGGGTTTCTTCATTTTTTTTTTTAATCCTTTTATCTGATTTTGCCTCAAATAAGTTGGTGTCAAGTGCTTTATCTTCAATCTCGCTAATTCTGACTTCCACTGCCTAAATTCTGCTCCTATGACTTTTCTATTGAGTTGTCTAATTCTGAAATTTTGTTTTTAATCTTCTGGATTTCTGATTCCTGTCACTCTATGGATTCTTGCAGCCTGTTAAATTTGTCATTATGCTCTTCTCTAATCTTTGTAATTTCCTCTATTGTGTGTTCTGCGTTTTGCTTAATTTTCTTCCTAATTTCTTGAAGAGTTCTGTATATTAATCTTTTGTATTCTGCCTCCAGTAATTCCAAGAAATTTTCCTTCTCTGGAAAATTTTGGGAGCTTGCTGAAGCCATAATGGATTGCCTCTTTAAGTGATTTGATATTGACTGTTGTCTCTGAGCCATCAATAAGTTATTATATTTATTTATTTTATGTTTGCTTACTGTGTCCTAGCTTCTTGTTTTGTTTTGATATGCCCAAATAGGCTCCTCGTATGAGCTAGTTTGATTGTTGGTACCTTTGAAGTTTTAATGTCCTGTCACCAGGTGGTTAGATCTGTTACTAGGTATGTGACCTCAGGAGTCCGCCCACACCTCCTGTGTGGTTTCAGCTCAGGTGCCCAGGTAGATGGTCACCAAGTGTGTGGTGTAGGCTCTCACTTACAGTCTTAGAGAGGCATGGGTGATTGGTGTAGGCACAGGCATCTGGCTGCAGCAGGGGGACACCCTCTGAGCAAGGTAGAGGGCTGACGGCTGCCCCCAAGTGTCCAGGAGGAAGGTGTGTCCTTCTTCCCTAGAGCGCGTAGGTGAGTGGGTTTTGCAGCTGGATTATGAGCACCTAATGCTGTTGGCTGTAAGGACTGGGGGGCAACTCTTATTCATGGGGCTGTACCGCTGATGGCTAGGTAGCATGGGTGGAGCCACCAGTCCTCAGGCTCTGATGTGGGTAGGTGAAGACCCTGCTTTATGGGCAGAGCAGCATCAAATGTCAAGAACCTGCCACTTCACAGCTGAAACAGTTGAAGTTAGACTCCAGGTATATACCCTGTTGTACTGCAGTAATGAGGGCCTACACTGTTGAGATCGGCCCACACAAGTCTATGCAGGGGGAAAGGCACTCAAAGTCCATGGATCCCTTATGCCTGTGCCTAGGCAGAGGAGCTGTGCCTACCCTGGGTTCCTGGCTTTGGGGAGCCGGTAGTTTATTTTTTCCCGTTTGTTAATTTGTTCACTCTCCAAGGCAGAGAGAATGGCTCCAGGTGTGTGACAAATGCTATTTCTGGCCCATGGGTCTCAGCAACTGCTGAAGCTGGTCCAGGACCCAGTGCAGAGCAGGGAGCAGGGAGGTAAATGGGAGAGAGGTTTTTCCCTAAGGGGGGTGTTTTTGATCCACATGGTAAGCCGTATGTGAGTACTTACCTTTCACCGAGGGCTGCTTCTCACTGGTTCTGGGTGGCCGTGTAGACTCTCTGGCGCTGGGTCTCTCCCAGTGCGGAAAACTTGTTTCCCGAGCACCGCCACTTGCCTGCCTCACCACTCACCCCCGAGCTGATCAGGCCTGAAGGGCTCAGGCTCTCGCCGGGTCAGGTCTGGCAACTCCCGGCTGCTTCCAAACCGTCTCTCTCTCCCCCTGCCACTCAGTCTGGTTCCTCAACTCTGCCTTTGATGTTCAGGGCTCCCAGATTGCTGTATATAATTGAATCACTTGTGTTTTTGGGTCTTTGTTATAAGAGGGTCCACCAGAAGCGTCTGGCTACTCCACCATCTTGGCCCTGCCTACCTCTCTATGCCTTTTGATGTTAGGAAAGTCTAGTTCTTTTTCCTCATCTTAGTTTCCTAACTTGTGTAATGATTTTCTTGTGGAAAAGCTTCTCAGATTCCTTTTTTTATATCAAAGTCTCTTTTTTTTTCTTCCTGTAGTAATTCTGTTCTGTGACTTCTAATGAAATTTAAGTCTTGTTGTGTTATTGTAGTAAGGTCCCTTAACTTCAACATCTTGCTTTTTTAAATTTCTGTCTGCTTCTTAATACAAGAGAAACCAAACCCATTGCTCTTGAGTCAATTCCAACTCATAGCAAACCTATAGGACAGCGTAGAACTGCCCCATAGGGTTTCCAAGGCTGTAGTCTTTATGGAAGTAGACTATCACATCTCTTTCCCAGAAAGCAGCTGGTGAGTTCAAACCACTGACCTGTAGGTTAGCAGCCAAGCGCTTAACCATTGTGCCACCATCTGATTCTTATTTTTGTCATTTCTTGTTTTCTAGAGGCCATGGTTTTTCTCCTTGAATTTTGTGAGGTCACAAAGCTGGTGTAGAGTCTTAGCGTTTATATTTAAACATGTTTTCAGTGTTTCCTCATTGTTTTTCTGTTTAGTCATCCTGGAAGGGGAAAAGGCTAAGTCAGGCCGGGTTTTTGTTCAGACGAGTCAAGGTGTAGTCTATGAAACAACACTGCCTGGCATGTAGTGAGTGGGACAGTTGTGTTTGTTAAAGAAAGCAGTATAAGATGAGTGAGTTAACTTTATACTGCCCACTTGCATTCTTTGAGAATACTCTTGGATCTTAGGCTGGAAGGCTGATGATGCGTTTATGTTTGCGTTTATCATTTGGTGACCCAGTGGTCTGGAGGGAGTATGGAGGGATTAAGGAGGTGACCACAGCCTTGGGCCTGTAAAGCAGGAGAAGCTCATCATTGCGTAATTCCTTCTCTAGCTTTTGATGTACTGGTTTATATACCGAGTTATTTGTTGCATTTTTTTGTTTGTTTTTTTAAACTCAGTTTCCTGGTAAAATATGTAATTACGCCCGGCATCCACATTGTCACTGCTTTCTGCTATGTCATCTGCACCCACACCCCCGTCTTCCCTTTTATTTTCGTACCTGTTTTCTTTTAAGTCACTGCTGTCAAAAGCCATTGATCTATAAAGGCAGATGGGTTTCCAAGTTTGTTTAGACATTTATCCCAGGACCTGCTCTCAATCTTACCCTCCCAGTCAGGGGCTGTTGGTAGTGTTCTGCAGAATTGCACCACTCACTGAAGGCGAGGTAGAGGTCAGGCCTTGCTGTCGTTCTTTGGTCTGGCCCCATTGGCGCTATGTAAACAGAAATGCACCCTTCATATAGCGTAAGAACAATACTCTCTGATATTCCAGCACTGAAGCAGGTATCCCCCTCTTTTTCCGATCCGTTTTTTCACTTCTCTAGGGTTGGTGATAGGGGCACGGAGATGAGACCCAGAAGTCTTACTGACTGTTGTGTTTCTAGGTTGAGAATGAGGATGAGATAAAGAATCTCAGAGAGCTTCACAACCTGGTGTACTCTCAAGCTTGCAGCTGGTTCCAGAATTTAAGAGATAGATTTCGAAGTCAAATTCTTCAGCACTTTGGATCAATGCCTGAGAGGGAGGAAGACCTTCAGGTATGATGCTTTGATATTGCTTCCAAAATCTCAGTCACCAAATTAGTAAAATTCTTTCTTTCTTTTTTTAATGTTCCCTTTTTCACTGCATTTTCTTTGACCCCTCCTGCCTTCAGACTGTATTCTCTAGAGCAGTGGTGTCCACTACAGTTTACATAGGTAGGGGTTGGAAGTGGGTCTCGGCTGGGGTGCCTATAGGCATGAGTACCAGAGAAGGAGAAGGCCCTTAACTAACAATTTTCTGGAAGGAGGGATGAGGAATTTAAAATGGGACATGAGACCATCTACTAAGTGATGACTGGGAGGCAGCTGTGCCTTTGAGCCAGCCAGCTGTTGGGTTATCCTTTGGTGGTCATTGAGAGATGTATATGGCATTTTCTGTACTTAAAAAAAAAAATCCCTTTCTCGTCATCCCCAACTCTTTACCCACCCACTTCAAATTATGCTTGTCTCTTTGTATTTAGTACTTCACTTCTCATGAAACTGTTATTGTTACGGCCTTGCTCAGGTATATGGCTTTTATACTTAAGCTTAATCCAGTAAGTATCTATCAGGCATGTTCTGTGTAAGCACATCAGTGCAGTAGGCACTGTAGGAGGCATAAAAGAAGAGACTCTGTTCTGGAAAATCTGATTAGAGACTTAGCAAAGTACTAACTTTTAGGCCTTAAGCGTTTGAGTTGAATTGAATAAAACGTTTGTGATCAGAAGGTGATAGATTTCATAAAGGAATGGCTGTGAATAGGTAGATGGAAATGGGGACATAATAAATCCCACTGTGATGTAAACTGCCTCTCCTTCCAGTTCCCAAGGGTTGGTCCAAGTCAGAATCGCAATTGGATCTGTCACCTGGACTTGAAATTTCAACATCAGCATCTCCCGTATGAGTACTTATTCTGTGTTTAGCATATTATTAGTTGGCACATGTTTGTTTTGTCCGGGCTACCTGAATCTGATTGAACCCAACAGAAATAGCCTTTGATGAGCATGAACTTGAATGAGTAGCTTATGAACGTTAACAAACCGGCTTATGGAAGAATTTAACATGAGTTTCCCATCTGCTTTACCATCCTTGTTTTCTTTTCATTAACCAGTTTTCTATCACTGCTTTCTGTTAGTAACGTTCTGTAAGTCAGGATTTGCTCAAGAAAGCATAGGCAGCCACTCTATTCCAGGAACGAAGGGCTTCACGTAGGAAGAACTAGAGTTGCTAAGGTCCAGAACATTACCAGCAAAGGTTGGGGAGGCTGCTGCCACCAGCCTCAGCTGGGAACAGCGAATCACAGGGGTCCTCAAGAAGCTGCAGGGAAGAGGCTGTCATTATCAGGAATCACAGGGAAGTCCCCACCAGTATCCTAGTCTTTAGCAATAGAAAGACCTCTCAGAAAGCTTCTGTGAATCTCACATTAGCCCATACTTCTGTCTGCAACAGTCTCCAGACAGTAATGGGCTCTTGTCTTCAAACTTCCAAATCTCATAGGAGCACCTCTTCATTGGCAAAGTCTAACCTGGACCTGGAGTCCCTGGGCAGTGCAAACAGTCAAGTGCTCGACTAATAACTGAAAGATTGGTGGTTCGAATCCACCCAGAGGTGCTTTGGAAGAAAACCCTGGTGATCTGCTTCCAAAAGGTCACAGCCTTGTGTAGAGCAGTTCTACCCTGTAACACATGGGGTTGCCATGAGTTGGGATCAACTCAATCCAAGCCAAACCAAACCCATTGCCCTCAAGTCGATTCCTACTCATAGCGACCCTGCAGGACAGAGTAGAACTGCCCCCATAGGGTTTCCAGGGAGCGGCTGGTGGATTCCAACTGCCTACCTTTTGGTTACTAGCTGAGCTCTTAACCGCTGTGTTATGGGGTTGCAGTGAGTTGGAATCAACCCAGTGGCAACTGGAAAAACCTAGACCTGTATATGGGGAGGGAGATTCTGGGGAGTGTAGCTTCTGACTTCTCCATTGGGCAGGAGAGGGTGGTAGTGATGCTTAATTGGGAAGAGACAACACACAAATGTAGAAATCCAGTTTGACTCTAGAGGGTGCTGATTGAGATCAACAGTAATGTCATAGCTCCTTTTGTCATTCTGAAACTTAGTGTTTCAGATCCAATAAAAAGCAATTGAGTGTACAGTAAAGTTTGCTTACAGATTCTTTTATTTGAATTCCTAGTTCTTTCAGTAGCCAGGAGTCAGCCCTTGCAACATCAGAGAGCCTTTTGCTGGAGGTAGACTTATTTCTCAAACAAAAATAGAAGCTGAGAACATCTTCTGATCTCTTTCCTAGGGTTTCCGTAATTCTTTGAAGACATTTTGATATCAATTAACTTTTCTTAACGCTTCAGTCTCTATTTTAAGACAGTGATTCTCAACTAGGGGTGATCTTGCCCCAGGAGACATTTGGCTGTCACAGCTGAGGGTACTGCTGCCAGCGTCTAGTGGGTAGATGCCAGGGACACTGCTCTCATGATGTGCAGGACAGCCATGTGCAACAGAATTATCCAGCTCAAAACGTCAATAGCGCTGTGGTTGAGAAGCACTGTTTTAAGGCACTGTGATGCAGGAAAGAGCCTTGGCTCTGGATTTGAATCGTGGCCCTCTCACATATGAGCTGAGAAATCTTAAACATTTGTATTACATTTTTGAATTTCATTTCCCTCTCTTAAAATAAAAAAAAGAAACCCATCGTCATCGAGTCCATTCCGACTCATAGCAACCCTACAGGGCCACACAGGGTTTCCACGGAGCAGCTGGCAGATTCGAACTGCTGGCCTCTTGGTTAGCAGCCATAGCTCTTAACCACTGCGCCACCAGGGCTCCTTCCCACCTCTTAAGTGGGCATAATAATAGCCTATTTTACATGATTGTTAAGAGAACTGAGAGAGGAGCTGACTCATACACAGTAACGTGATCGAGAAATAGTAGCTTTTAGGAGATTTGTTACTGTTGTTGTTACATAAATGTTTGTTTTATTAACACTATAAAATGTTGATTATTTTTAGGCAACCCCTAATGGACCTGCATGGTGTTGGTGGCTTCTTGCAGTTCTTCCCGTAGACCCCCGATATCAGCTGTCCGTTTTGTCCATGAAGTCTTTGAAAGAACGGTTGACAAAGATCCAGCATATACTGACCTATTTCTCTAGAGACCAGTCTAAGTAACCAACTGCCTGGCCCTCCCTTGGAACAGTTACCCTAATCTGGCTCTGTGGACGGCCGGATTGTTCGCTGCCTTTGCACATCCAGCGCTGGTCTGAGAAACGTAATGACAACCGGAGTGTTTGTTTTTGTGTTCTCCAGCCTCCGGAATCCTGCGGTTCTTCCCATGAACACCTTCAGCTCGGATCTAGACCACTAAGAACTTGCACAGAAAAACACGCCCTGAACGCGTGTGAAGCCTCTACGGTGTGATGAAGTTGCACTATGGACCATTTTCTGAACTGAAACGAGAGCTCTGTGCGTGTGTGGCTTGTGTGCCTGAGTGTGTGTGTGCGCGCGTGTGCATGGGTGGTATGTGTGCATTTTCTCTGGCTTTAAAATTTTAACAAGAAAAAAAAAAACAAAAAAGCCATAGAGAGCAGAACTTGCCCGGGGTCCTTTGTGGCCCGAGTTTACAACAGCAGCGATACACGTTTTCGCAAATTGAATTTGCCTCAGATTTATCTGTCCTAATGCTTCTATTTGCACAAGTATGTACATTGTGGTATTGAGTATCACTGTCTGTTGGGAATACTGCTCTCGCCGAACCATCTAGACCATTGACTATGACGCAGTTTCTTATTTATGTCAATACACGCATCACAGTGCCTGACAGGCGCTGGATGTGGAACCTAGAGCCAGTTTTCAGGAACAATTGCAAACCTGACATGGTACTGTACATCTATTCATAAAACACTTAAAACTGTGAAAATATGGTTTACATTTAACTGTACATAAAGGCAACCGGTGAACTCCGTTCAGTACCAGTTAGTTTGTGCATTATAGGGGCTTTTGCATTAACTGCCCATCTCTGTAATTTATAGTTTGACATGATGTGTTTGTTTTTAAAACAGTGACATAATAGACGCTCATTAAGGAACTGGGGGAAGAAAGGAAGCTTGTAATGTAGAACTAAGCTTTTAAAGTGGTTTTTTTTTTTTTTTAATTCTGTTCTTGGTGCAAACGTTAGTTATGCCTTATTCATACCACAGTTAGATCGCCATGCCCTAGCGTGATTTACCCTCATGCTGCCTAGATACTTTTGTAATTATGTGTTGCAAACTTGTGACTGTCTCTATTCGCTTTCTTTTATGTAAGTCATTTGTAAAAGTTTCTTAAACAAATTTTGCTTTTGCTTATTTAATTTTGAATAAAAGCTAAATTCATAATAACTTTATTTTCTAACTTGAGGTCGGTGTCCAAAAAAAGCTCATTAGAGGACTGCTGATGGAAAAGCACAGCTGAGTTTTGCTTCCTGTTTTGTGACATGAGACATAAGCTATGGATTTTCAAAGTACCGTTTTTGGTCATTTTTTAATCAAAGAATGCAGTGTCTGAAGGAGGCTTGGGCCCCAGAACCTCCTCTAAAGCCCTAATTTTCCATTTTTTGCAAATCCATGTCCCTTTAGGATAAAGATAAAATTCTTACATACGTGCTACCTCCGTTCGAGACTCTTTCTGGTAACACAGACTTGACCATTTTAGCCCACATTTCCCAGCTAAGATTTTCCATATGAAAATACTGAGTTCTAAAAAAGACTCAGAAGTGACTTCCTAGAGGACCTCTCCTCGCTCTCTCAGCTGTGCCAACTGAGACTCTGTTTAATAGTCCTGCAGAAAACATCGCCTAAAGAATGGGCCCCCCCTCAACAATGCCTTATTAATAGTTTCTGAAGTGTTAAACTTTTTTGTAAGAAAAAACTATTAAATGCCTTTTAAAAAGTGACTCATAGTATAAATGAATAGTTCACCTGTATAATTCTCGAAATACGTATCAGATGGCAGTAGGCGTTTTCTGGTGTTGAATCCACATCTGTGATACACACACAAATGGGCATGAATAGTTTACATATATACACTTACTGATGGACATTTATGGGCTTTATTTATCATTTCACCCCTGATTTTGTGATAGATGGATAGATCAATCTCTGACAGTTTCCAGTCTGCAGATAAAAAAAATCTCTGGAAATTTTTTCCTACTGCATCTTCCATACAGTTTATTAAAAAAAAAAAGGACCAATTTTTTCCCGTAACAGTGTGTCTAAGTCCTTTCGTGAATTCTACATTTCAAGCCAAAGAAGCTCGCTGTGAATTATTATACACCTGTCTACGTGTCCAATTTTTCTTCTTCTTGAAAGGTCCAACTCAGAAGCTTTCACTCAGCTGGGAGAACTCTGCACTCCCAAAGCGCACACTTTATACTTCGTTACGGCACTTAAGGGAGATAACTGGATAAAATGCAGAAACCCTCTACTGAGTATTTATGACTAGTATCGGGCAGTTTCAGATAGATTAAGTGAAAAATCACAGACTGGCCACTGAGCAGAACTGAAAAAAAAATTCCAGTTAAAAAGAGATTGGGTAGAGATGGTTACCGACCCCAAACACCAAACCTGGTGCCGTCGGGTCGATTCCGACTCACAGCGACCCTACAGGACAGAGGAGAACCACCACATAGGGTTTCCAAGGAGCGGCTGGTGGATTGGAACTGTTGGCCTTTTGGTTAGCAGCCAAGCTCTTAACCAATGCCTTTGATCTCCCCTTGCTTCTTAAATTAAAAAAAAAAAAGAAGAAAATGAAACCTAATGGCCCATCAATTGACAGTACTTTCGAGGAGTTTCTGAGATGCACAAACGGGATTAGATACATAAAGTAAGAGGAAAGCGCAGCTGTTCAGAAGTGGAAGACTGCAGGTCAAATGTGAGTGGTTCCAGGAAAGCTCCAAACTGGGAAGGTCGGGGAATTTGGGGAGATTGCTTGGGTGGGGGCTGCACTTGAAACAGCTGCATCATTCAACTCTCCGAATGGGCTAGGCAGTAGGCAGCAATAGCACTGGATGTGGGTGCTGGGCCAGAGAAGATCTCCAAAACCTACAGGTCCCAGTAGGATGGGGAGCCCACAAGAACAGAAAGCAAGCAACTGACCTACCTCGCATAGCTGTATGTTCCGTCATTCCCCTACATCAATACAGGCTACCTCTGATGGAAGCAGGAGGCACAAATGGATGAACATGGATCCCAAACAACTACTCCCAGATATCTGAGGAAAATAAACAGTATAAAAGAAATAGCAGATTCAGCCTTAGATTTGAAAATGTTGTGTTCCAAAAAAGATCTGGGAATCTAGAAAATATTCCTCAAAGAGTCCCTGGCACCATAAAGGCGCTCAGTAAAAGTTTGTTGAAACAATGAATGAGTCATGAAAATAAACTTAGTAGACAAGCTGAATAGAAGAATGAATGCAGATAATGAATGAATGAGGTGGAGGATTAAGTCAGGGGCACCTTTCAGAATACAGTGTATGAATATCAAGAGAATAAAAGCATGAGAGAAAAATTGAGACTTGGAGAATACATTTAAAAGTTTAACATCCATTCAGTAGAAGTTCATGAAGGAGAGTATCAGAGAAGAAATAAATAAAATAATTTTCCCGTAGCTCAATACCAATAAAAACATTCTACTTTCCTAGGGACCAGATCATCCATTTAAAGGGAAAAAATAAATACAAGCAATTTACACAGGTGAACCGAAGGACAAAGCAGCAATTACTCCGTTGTCTGACATTGATCAGCAATGAGATGACTGAATTTTCTTCATAAGCCAAGGTTTAAATGCCAATGTTTAATTACAAAATTGTTAAACATTTTGTCTTAGGCTGGCTTCTCTAGAGAGGCAAAACCAGTAAAGCGTATAAATATATGCAGAGAGAAATTTCTACCAAGGAAATGGCTCATGTGGTTGTAGAGGCTGGGAGGTTGGGAATGTCCCAAGTCCGTGGGTCAGGCTGGAGGCTTCTGATTCATGTAGCGAAAGGGGCTGGCAAACCCAAGATCAGCAGGTCAGAGAGCAGGGCTGTTGTTCACAGACTTCAAAGACTGATGAATCCCAAGATTAGCAGGCAAGACCACAGGTAACCTGCCAGCTCAAGTCCCAAGAACTGGAGGTCAGATGAACAGGAGCCAGCTGCAGGATCCAGAGTGAGCAAAAGCCCATGAGCCTGGCCAGAATGTCCACTTATATTTGATGCAGGCCACATGCCCAAGGAAATTCCCTTTCAACTGATTGACTGTTCGCAGCAGATCCCATCATGGGGGTGATCACATTATATCAAATCCCAACATGGAAGTACGACTGCCAAACTACTGAGAATCATGGCCCAGCCAAGTTGACACACAATCTTAACCATCACGCTTTTATAGAGTAAGATATTTGGGACTGAGCTTAGTAATAAACTGTTTTCACAGACCTGTCTCTCCATTACTTTGGACTTTTCACCAAAATTAAATCTATCTTTAAAGATTTTGTTGTTACAGTCTCTGATATTGAAAAGAAGGCGGGCTTCATTTCAAAAGAATATACACTTAATTTCAACATGTAGTAGGCAACACCTTTAATCCTCAGAAGAATCCTGTGAAGTAGGCATTCTCCTTGCAGAGATGAGGAAACCGAAACATCAAAGTAGTTAAGTAAATTGTCAAAGGATCACACAGCTAATATGTGGCTACAACCGACTTTGAACGCAGGTAATCTGGCTCCAACTTACTGCCCCATCCAGTTATAAAACATCTAAGCAGGTCAGACGAGTGAAAGGTTTGGAAATGATTGACTTGACTCCCTGATACTATGGGTTTTACCTATGGCAGGTATATTTTATAGCTATGAGATTAGAACATGCTTTGAAGTACCTTGCTGTCTTAGTTATCTAGTGCTGCTATCACAGAAATACCACAAGTAGATGGCTTCAACAAAGAGAAGTTTATTCTCTCACAGTCCAGTAGGCTACAAGTCCAAATTCAGGGCATCGGCTCCAGGAGAAGGCTTTCTCTCTCTGTCGGCTCTGGAGGAAGGTCCTTGTCATCAGTCTTCCCTTCGTCTGGGAGCATCTCAGCTCAGCAACCTCAGGTCCAAAGGATGCACACTGCTCCCGGCACTGCTTTCTTGGTGGTATGAGGTCCCCATGTCTCTCTGCTTGCTTCTCTCTTTTATGTATCAAAAAAGATTGGCTTAAGACACTGTGTAATCTTGTAGACTTCATTAATATAACTGCCGCTAATCCATCTTGTTACATTATAGTGATAGGATTTACAACACATAGGGAAATCACCTCAGATTACAAAGTGGTGGACAATCATACCATACTGGGAATCATGACCTAGCTAAGTTGAAAGATATTTTTTGGGGACACAATTCAATCTGTGACGCTTGCCAAGATTTGTGGGATAGTTAAAATGGGTTCACCCCTACATTTTTTGGAGCAATGTAAATTGATAATAATCTTTTCAAAAAGTAATATTGCAGTATTAAGAAAAACAAAAACCCAAACCTATTGCAGTCAAGTCAGTTCTGACTCATAGTGTCCAAGGTGCAGCTTGTGGATTTGAACTGCCGACCTTTTGGTTAGCAGCTTAACGCTTAACCACTGCAACTCCAGGGCTCCGATATTGCAGTATAGGTATCAAAAATCATTTAAACGTTCATCCTCTTTGACCCAATCTCATATTGGAGGAATTACTATAAGAAAATAATTCAAAAATGAAAATCCTCATGTGTGAAAATACTTTTTCAATGTTCCCTAGAATGGCAAAAACTTAAAAATAACCAGTACCTGCTATAGGTGACAGCTAGAGGAAGCTCAAATGAGTATTGTGCAAACATTAAAAATAACCAAAAAGGGACACTTCCGGCAAAATGGCGCTCTAGGCAGAAGCACCATGCCGTCCCTCCACAGCAAAGATCTGAAAAACTAAGCCGAACAGAGAAAACGACAATCCTGAAACCCTAAATGAAGAGATAAAGAACTCAGCCAAGCACCAAATGGAGTGAGAAAACTGACAGAGAACGGAGAGAGAGGAGAGATTCATGCAGAGGTCCCCTACCAGCTAATGCAGCGCAGATCTGCAATCTTGGAATCCTATCAGAGACCAGCAAACGGGGTACGAGAAAGCAGCTTCACGGAGCTTCCAGTGGGAGACAAAACAACTGGTAATTTGCGATATATGCTTTCCTACCTCTCACCCTTCTTCCCTCCCACTTGGCCTCCTCTGCTTCCCACAGCCACAATCTCTTGTCCGGGAAGCACTGGCTGCTTGGATTCCACCCACCCGAACGGGCCGGCTCTTTGAGTGCCATTTGTTAGCTGCTGGTGTTGCTTTTTTTCCGCTTCTTTTGAT